ACCCCCTGTCATCTTACCCATTATTAGGACTCCCCCTTTTCTAGTTTTTCCAGGAATACTCACTCAGCCCCCCCCAATGGAGGGATATCACTGCCCTGCACTGAGAGTGTAGGGGTCAGGGGGCATTTCCTGTGGGTCAAGGCCTTAGATGCCTCATAAATTAACACACAGGGATTGACTCAGATCCCCAGAAGACGTGGAACTGGGTGGTGTGAACAGGGGCCTTTTCAAATAGCAGGTGCCGCTCAGACACCAACCCCCTCCCCACTTCTCAAAGTCTCAGTGAAGGTGAGATAGAGCCAGGGTTACTGTTGCTCACCTCCTCAGGGTGCTGCCGGGGGCTCCACTAACTAGGTGATCTCGGGGTCCCTGCTGGGGCAGGAATGTTCTCAGCTCCAGGCTCCTCACTGGGCACACTTTTTTTTTTTTAAGAGACACAGAGTCTCACTTTATGGCCCTGTTTAGAGTGCTCTGGCGTCACAGCTCACAACAACCTCCAACTCCTGGGCTTAGGCAATTCTCTTGCCTCAGCCTCCCGAGTAGCTGGGACTATAGGTGCCTACTACAATGCCCGACTATTTTTTTTGTTGTAGTTTGGCTGGGGGCTGGGCTTGAACCCGGTACCCTCAGTATATGGGGCTGGCACCCTACCCACTGAGCCACAGGTGCCACCCCTGGGCACACTCTTGATTGTGCCTTTTTTCCTGTGACAGCTTCACATCTGTTGCCCCTTGAAGGATCTAGACAGCTCTAATACTTGGAATGATTTTTGTTCCTTTTCTCTCCTACCACTGGCCTCTCCTAACTTTTCCTTTGGACAAAGTGAGGGTTTCCTGTGAAATCATGGGAATGTCAGGTTGGAGCCTCTGAGCACTGCGCCAGCCTTACCCCTCCCTTCCTAGAGAGGTGGGTGCTGGGTGGGCAGCCTCACCTGGCAGCAGGTGTGAGAGCCGTGGACATGTAGGAAGCGTCGCTGACTGTGACCTCAGAGGCACTTACATAATCCTTCCAAGCTTGTTTCCTTTCTGCAAGATGCAGAAATAGCACCTACCTTGGGAGTCTTTGTCAGGACCAGATGAATGTAGGCAGGATGGCCTTATCATGTAGTGTCTTGTCTGAGACGTGCTTGGAAGTCAAAGGGGATGTTAAGACAGCAGGGCAACTGAGGCTCGAGGGTGGCTGTCACACCCTACACCTGAACACCTGCTCGAGGGTGGCCGTCACACCCTACACCTGAACACCTGCTCGAGGGTGGCCGTCACACCCTACACCTGAACACCTGCTC